CCCCAAAACCCCAAAACCCCAAAACCCCAAAACCCCAAAACCCCAAAACCCCAAAACCTGCACTCACAACTCTAAATATAATTTCCTGTACAGCAGTGGTAAGTTCTTAAGGAACAATAGAGGCTGTAAGCGGGATTAGAAGAGGAGTGGAGGGGTTTGGGGATTAAGAGGTGGAAGGGGCGGAGGGGATGGAGGTTTATGTGTAGGTGTGATGGAAAGAGAGATGGAAGGACAGAAGGAGAGGAATTTAGTGAGGTTTTATGGGAAGAGAGGGGAGAAGGCAGTAGAGGAGGGTGCAGAGGGGAGGAAGGGGACGAGACAGAAGGGAGTGAGGTTTATGTAAGATAGGGGAATATTGTTTAGGATGAAGAAACCATTGAGGAGGATTGTTTTTAAGTAAAATGAGTAATGGCAACAGCAGTCTTGATAAATTTCCTCAAACAGAAAAGAGCATTAAAAATAACAGAGAGTAAGCTTCACATAAATATTAGATATAATTTCTAAAAGCTCTCCATAAAAAATTTTATTTATATTTATCATTTAGAAAGAGGATAACAAATTTTGAGTCCTTTCTTCAGAAGTTTAAGGAGATTAAAAAGAAATAGCTCAAAGAAGACCTTCCAAATGACCACGTTAAATATTAATAACAAGATGAGGAACGCCTTTCGGGACATTAATAAGTCATGAGAGATAAAACCAATCGAAGATCATCATAGGTCAGAGATAAAAATTGATACCTCTAATTGTGTCACAAAGATTGACTTTCCAACCTGATCTAGTACTCAAAGGATATCAAGAAATTTATTCAAACCCAGAAGGATCGAGACAGGGTCTCATGGCAGAATTCCTCTACTTAACCATACAAAATGACTTAGAGGGATAACACCTGAGATTGGAGAAAATAAGGCTATGAAGCTTCCATATCCTAAATGGATGAGAACTCATCAATCAAACACCTCTACTTTTAACTGTAGTAGGAAGTCTTCTCCTAAAATAAATTTCCTAGAGTCATCCATCATTACTGAGCAAAAGATTATTTTTGAAAGAAGGAAGAAGTCTCTCAAGACAAAGATTGTTTATAAAATTCCCAAAATAAGGTAAATCATCAGAATATATTTCCTTAAAATTCCTATCTATTATTTAGTGCCTATCTATGAAAATTTATGCTGAACTCTTATATACCCTCAATCTTGCATAGGCATATTCGTGTAAAGAGGAAGTTCATAAAACTAAAAGATTTCAAGATAAAGCCAATAATAAGCAGCAAGTTATTGTAACTTCTGTATAATAAGAGTAAATTCAAAGCTGATCCAATAAATTTTGACCTATACATGAACTACAAAGGGATGATTTGCTCTTAAAAATTTACCTTTAGCTATCAACCAATCTTCCAATGCATGGGGTTTTGGGGTTTTGGGGTTTTGGGGTTTTGGGG